GTGTCCAGCTGCAGGAGGCACGCCCGACAACCAGCCATCAGCTGGTAACCGCCGCCTCCGTGCGTACCCAAAACGTGAAGAGCTTGAACGACGCACAGATTGTCTACGCACAGCCAGCCGCATTGGCTGACCCGGAACTGAATCTAAAGCTGGAACTGCCCGTCTATAGGCAGCCGGTAGCAGCGTATACAACTCCCATGCCAGCAAGGCATGACCTGACCTCTAGCGAGGAGCTGCGCGAATTTGCCATGTCACAGCCGGCCAATCCACAACAGAGCCGAGACCCGGCTCAGGATCAGGATTTCAAGCACTATCAACAGTTCTTCAGCAGCCTGGAGGACAATGGCGAGCGTCAAAGCTATCAGCATATGCAGCCCATCTATAAGACCGTGACACCGACGCCATCAGCACCAGCATCGATTAGCCAAAAGCAGCCGGTGGTATCAGCAGCACCGCCAGCACCACCAGCCACGCCGAGGCCAACGCCCAAGCAATCCGATTTGGCTGAGCTACAAAAACTGCTCTACAATACGCAACAGTTGCAGAAACTGGGCGTGGCGCTGCCCAATGAGCTATCCCAGCAGCTGGAAAGCCAGTTCCAGTCACAGCCCGGCACCACCAGCACCACGAGCAGCACCACCAGTACCACGAGCAGCACGAGCAGCACTACCAGCACAACAACAACACCCGCACCATTGGCGTCGCCATCACCAACCCATGATTCATCTTCGCCGGCGGTTTTCTCGCTCACCACCAGCAAGCCAGCATCACCACGACCGCCACGTCCCAGTCCCACTACAGAGAGCAGCGTGGAGCTGCCCGTGTTCAGTGCCACGAAGATCATTGAAGCGGCCATCAAGCGGGCGGCCAATCGCATTGGTGTCTCCACGGAGCAGCCCTTGAGCCTGGGTGCGGGCAGTGGCTTCCGCCGGCGTAGCGATGACGATATGGAGCTGGGGGCGCAGGACGAACAGGATGGCGTGCTGGATGGCGATCTGATGGCCGAGTTCAGTGAGCTCAACTATCAGCTGGCCAAACCGGAGCCACAAGCGGAGGCCCGAGAGCAACCAGAGCTGGGAGCTGATCTGGGTGAGCTGCAGCGTCTCATCAGCAATTTGCAGGAGCTCCAGCTGCTCAACGTGAGCCTGGCCCAGATGAAGCCAGCCTCGCAATCGCAAATGGATGCTATCTATTTACAATCGCTACCACCGGGCATTGATACCACAAAGCCGCGCAGACAGAGCTTGGACAACAGCAGCAGCACCATCACCAGCACCAGCACCAGCACAACTACACTGCAGCCGGAGGAGCCAATTACAACGCAGGCGCCCACGCGCATTAGCCTGGATCTGGGCCTCAGCGATGGAGAGACCGATGCAGTGGCGGGTAGCGATGCAGACATCTTTACGAGCACCACAACTGAGGCCAGCAGCAGCTCCTCGACAACGGAGGAGTCGCGCAATGGCTCGCTGGATGATTTGGCCGACTCGTTCGGGCCCGATCCTGTTTCCCTGGAGCCCCCGCCGGCCAAAAAGAAGAACGGCTTCTATTTTCTAGCCGATTGGAACTCGTTTCTCGAGGTGGGCGATGGCGATGATCAGGTGGTGGTGCGTCTCAGTCCCAAAATTGGTGATCCCCGCGACTTCCTGGCCGTCTAACTAGCCCCTGGTCCCCCCTGATTGGCCAATGTAAATAGTATCATTTACCATAACAAAATCCCTATCGTTATTGCGTGTGTGTGTGTTGTATTTATTTTAGTCACTGGTTTTTTTTCCTCCGCCGCCTAGGGGCCCGGACTGTCCGGGTCGTAGTCATAAGTTGGGGCCTAAGCCTAAGTTCTAAGAGTCAATAACAAAAAATAAATAAATAAAAAATGAATATGAACAAATGTGCTTGAAAGAAATGCACTTATGCGATTTTAAAGGCATCTAGGCATCTGAGTTTACAAATAAGAACAAATATTATATATTCTAGTTTAATAAAGATGTATAATAAAGCCGAACGAAAAACAATTGCTTAATAATGGAAATCTATGTATGTATACACATAGCCCTGGTCGTCCTGATCGTCTTCAAGCTCATTCTTCAACCTTATGAAGTATTGACGATTCGTGTGCCACCGATTTGGAAAAGTCTACCCGACAGCGAAAAGTGGGCGGAAACACTTTTCCGCTGCAAATTTTTATTTTTTGGCTGATTGGCTTTTATGTCTTTTTGAAACATCTTATTAATATTTTCCGATTGCTCACTACGAAGACTGGAAATGGTGAAGTTCAAAGTATAAGAGGAAGAGTAACATTTAGCGACGGGCGGAAAATGCGTGGAAAAGTGATATTTACAATGTTAAAACTAAGTTTATTTCACTTTTTGGAATGGATGCAAGCACATGCATATGTATGCGTATGTGCATGTATGTATGTGTACATATGTGTGTATGTATGTGTGTATGCGTCTAAGTATGTGTGTATGTATGTATGTATGTGTGTATGTATGTATGTGTGTATGTATGTATGTATGTATGTATGTATGTATGTATGTCAGTATATAAGTATGTATGTATGTCAGTATATTGGTATGTATGTAGGTGTGTATGCATGTATGTTTGTGTGTATGTATGTATGTATGTATTAAACTTACTTTAAAGTGGTGCTCTACTCCTCGATTCTCATGAATTCAAGTAAGCCTGGCAGGTTTCCTTGCTTTGACTTTAAGTTTTTTTATTTGTAAGTGTTGTGTAAATACAAAGGTATGTGTTTGTATAATATTTGTATGTATGTATGAATGTATGTATGTATATATGCTTATTTCTGTGTATGCTTGTATTTTTGCATGTGTACGAGTATGTACATATGTTTGTATTTATATGTCTTATACCAAACGTAGACTAAGTTGTCCTAACTTTTTTGATAACTCTACATGATGCGTTGCAAATTAAGATCCTGCAATTTATACTGTAGTAACTTGTTATGTAATGATGCATGTATGTGATGCAAATGACAACTGTGGAAAATTGGCGGAAAACGGTTGTGTGAATTTAAACTATATTTCAAAGTATTTCACGCGGGTCAAAGGTTTTATGAACAAAGGTTCAAGTTGAGTCCGATCGGGTGCAAACCTGTTTTCAAAGTTTAACATCTTAAACAATGATTTTGGAAAGGAGGGGATTTTCAATCGTGATTGCGTATAATCCACTTCGATGAGTGGAATTGGAGTTCTAGGTAGAATGGGGGAATTTAAAGTGCTTTCGGACGTGGAATTTTACAAAAGTGATGCTTAAATTATAAAAGTAAACCATCAAAGCTGATATGTGACCATATTCGACTTCAAGTTTGTGTTGAAGATATTTCTGGGCATCAAAGTGACCCACGTCAAAGCTGTCGCACCCAGATTGGAGCTACCAGCAGAGCTGAAAATGCTCCTCATTTAATTCGAGCATCTCGTACAAATCGGAACGAATTTTCAAAAACTTAAATAGTCGAATACTTTTTCGAAGATTGAAAATCGTAATCCATTTCAATTAAAAAATTTGTTTTTATTCAAAGTCTATTCGCGTCAAATATTTAAACAATGACTGACACAGCGCCCACCGATATAAATGCTGATAACGTGCTGCAATATCTGCGCAAGAACCTGGAACCAGTGCCATACAAGATGCTGATCGCCCACTTTTGTGAAACGTTGGACACGGCGCCGAAGCAAGACGAGGCTAAGACACGCCTCAATAAGGTATTGGTCACGTCCATTAACTCGGGCGCCATAATGCATTGCAATAACCACTTTTTCGCTGGAACCCATGCGGAGGATATGGAGGGAGTCATTGATTTAACTCAGATCGAGGATATATCCCCGAACCTTAGCTCCATCTCATTCTCTAGTTGCGAAAGCATCCTTTCGACTGAGGAAGCAAAAAAGTCTGAAGTATTTGGCGAGGCGAGCGATACAAACGATGCCAGTGAGGCTGATGCGGATGGCGAGGGCGAGGGTGACGAAGACCGCTCGTTGAAGTCAACATCGAACTTGAACACCCAATCGAATCCGGAGCTTTTCCAATTCCCATCGCATACCTCTTCACTGTCGGCGACGAAATAAGACGGCAACCCATCGCCAATCAATTAAGCCCGTTCGGCCGCATGTTTATATTCTTATGACAACTTTGATGAACCAGCCAACCATACGATACGGGGAGGGGAGCTGCTTTCTATGGTCGAATGGCTGGAAATCACCAGGCAAAATTACAAGTCTTAATCTGTACCAAATTGAAGCACAGCTGCTAGTGTCAATTATTTATAATAAATTTACTAAAAGTTACATTCCTTAGGAGCCACACTATTATATACAATAATTCCTTCCTTACGCGATTATGCGCATCTTAATGGTGGATGTTTTTAGGATATAACCAAATGCTTCCGATTTGGAGTAAGGTGACTTTTTAGTCCTTTTCTCTTACCAGTTTTATGGTGCCTCACTTGGGCTGTGCTTTTATATTTGTATTCTCTGTAACTTAATACTATGCCATTTACAACCTCCTAGTTTCTATACATATTTCTGCGAATGTAGTCCAGATTTATTCCGAGGGTTAACGTCCATACCTTGCCTTATATTACACAATGAAGATGTGACTATACGACCTACTGTACCGAAGCGTAGGTCAAGTTTACGATTTTCATAAATATTGATTTCCAACCTCACAAATGTCGTAGATTATTTGATACCCGAAGGATTTAAGGAACTAATCTCATTCATCGGGGAAGTCGAGCTGAGGCACAATCGACCGTCTCTTGTAATATTTTTTTTATTATCATGGTAGTGTCTTTTGCGTCGATTTTGTTCAACCTGCTGGGTATCTAGTCGCTTCTATCCATTATATATATTTCGCCCACTAAGGTAATTTTATATATTTAACAAAATAAAAATTTTTAAGGAAAATTGGATCAAAGTGAGCCAAGAAATTGATGTCAATCTGTCGTGACTTTGCGGAATTTGTTTGTAGCTCATTATACGTTTTTGTTTTGTCGTGCATTGAGCAACAAGGAAAAATTCTCGTTTTTAAATATTTATTTTTTATATTTTAAGTCTTGACAAATTTCAAAGTTTTCTTTTATAAATGGGTGCTGCGCGTTCACAACCTATCATTGAAGAGGACGTTCGTGCCTACTCAAAATTCTTGGAAAAATTCAAAGATACCCACTCCTACTTAAGTGAAAATGAGGTTGAGCAAAATGCTGTAATGACATGGGATACTATGACTCCCGAGCAGAAGAGCCAATTTCTCGTGAGTATCGAATGAGCTATTCATAATTTTGGCTAGTCGAGGAATATATTACCTTGCCAGAATAATGAGGAGAAGGCTCGTGCTTACATCAAACACGAGTATATCCCTAAGAAAGCCAGCACCAGGACGATACCAACTGAGAAACCAAAACCAAAGCCAAAGCAAAAAGTAAAACCGAAACCGAAAAAAAAACCGATTGCGGCTAAAACAAAAATTATGACTTCACGCAAATCGCAGAAGGCAATCAATTCAAAATCAAAGGGAAAGAACATGAATTTATCATATTGCACAAACAATGCGTTTCGTCATTTTATTCGGGAGTTCCGGAAACGCAACAGTGATCTTGATTTGCAAACAGCCGTCAAGCTGGGCGCTAAAGCTTGGTGTCTACTCTACCAGGAGGAGAGAGAAATGTTGAAAAAACTTGTATGTAGGCATTTTGGTGTCATATAAACAATTTCTTAATTTTACTATTGTAGATTACCAAGAAAGGTTCGATAAGTGACGTCAGTTTTATGTACCTATAACTGACTTGCATATGCTAAATCTTTGGGTTAAATATCTAAATTTGTATTTATTTAAATACATATAAGCTTCTTAAAACGTGTTTGTTTTCGATTTCTTATTTAAAAGTGAGTGCTTAATAGATATGCATATCAATTTGCAAACTTTTGCTTGTAAAGTTGGCTGCGCTTGACTGAATGGCAGCTTGTTAAGTTGGGTGCGCCTTTATGAATGGACCTTATTAAGTCGGCTTCGCCCGAATTGGATTTCGGAACATATATTAATATATTTATTAATAATTCCAATACACTTAAAAATACATATATATATATACAACAAATCAAATTACACATTGGTTTTAAAGCCTATTAACAATGTAGCCAAGGCTCAAAGAATCCGGGCATTACCAGCTCATAAAAGGTTACACGGCGTGACTGAACCACGGCCAGCATATGGAGCGCGCCCGGCGAACGCTGTAATGGCAGGCGTAGCGCCAGCAATTGAAGTACATATGGCTGCTCCGTCTCGCCATCCGCTTCGACATGGAACTGCGTGAATGGCACAAAGCCCTGAATGCCGCGATAAATGAAGACGCGCACACGGCAACAACCCTCGACAAAAGCCAGCAGCGTTTCATCCCGCACGCGCAAGGCTGTTAGCTGGCGCGCCAAATGATCGGCAGCCAGTGACTGGAAGAGGGTGCCATTGGCATGATGCAGCTGGATGTGAGCGGCCGGCGCTGTCGATGGGGCAATGGGCGGCACATTTGAAGCGACAATGGTTAGACGGGCATAGAGCAGCTGGGCGTGCTGCACACGACCCACATACAGACGTATTGTTTCTACGGGCAACCATTGTTGCTTCGGATGGGGCAATTCCATGGATAGGATGCTGCTCGCCTCGGCTGAGTTTAGTTCCGACTGCTGCGCTTCCTCTAGCTCCTGTTGCAACTCACGCAATCGCTCAATCACAGCGTGTAGGCGCTGCGTATCATCATCTGTATCGACAATTTCTTCATGGCTGTCATTGTTGTTGGCCAGGAGCAACACATCACGCAAAGTGCGCTCCAGTTGAAGCACCAGCACGCGCTGCTGCTCATCTGCTTGGCTATCGTTCAAGGAAAGCCGTCCATGCAGCGCCTTTAGCTCCTCCAGCACTGGCCAAATTAGTTGGGCACTGCGCGCAGCCAACACGCGCGACGGATTATTCGGTAACGGCAGCGTGTCCGTGGGCAAAGATGCAAACACCCCAGTGCCAGATGTCGAAGCCCGGCGCAGTTGCCGCATCAGACGTAAGAAATCCTCCACAAGATGCTCGTCGTCATAGAGATCGCTCTCGGGAATGCTTAGCTGCGTGATGTTCACCTCGGTCTGTAGACGAAAGCTGAGATGCTGCAGCAGGCGCTGTCGCAATGTCTCGTACTGCTCCTGGCTCAGGGTGTGGCCCGCATCGAGATGTGGACGCAACTGTGACTCAGTGCTCGGCCGGCTCAAGTACTTGATGGCCTCCTGATAGCTTGGTTTATTCCGCTGCAGCTGTTGCGCCTCATGCTTTTGCTGCAGTTGCTGCAGCTTGCTAGCTGGCACGTCCATTGGCTCAATTTCAGTCTTGGCGCTCGTGCGCCAGCTTTGCAGATGGGCCAGGCTGCTACAGTTCCAGCTTCCTTCCTCCTGCTCATCGCTCAGCTCGTAGCTGGTCATGAAACTGAACTGGTCATTGTTGTTGGCGCTGGCGTTGCGCTGCTGCAGCACAGTGGCATCATTAATGGGTCCGCTCTCGATTCTGCCAGCGCTGGTATAGTGCGTGCCGTTCCAGCGATAGATGCGCGTCCAGCAGCCCAGTTCGTTGATCAACAGATAGCTAGCAGCCGGCGCCGGCGACTGCAGCGCAAAAACGCGACGCACATCCGATTGACCTGGAGCCTGCTGCAGAGCAAAGCTGCGGCGCAGCTGCGTCACCTGGTAGGGCAGACGCAGCAGACCAAAGAGCCTAGCCAGCCGCGTGCACAGCTCTCGATAGCGCACCGCTAGCGCGTTGCTCTGGCGCCGGTATACCTCATGGGCACGATGCTCTGGGAGCTGGGGCTGCTTTACACGCAGCCGGCGCACGTTCCAGTTGCCGCTTATGATTTGAGTCGCTCGACCTTGCGCCCAGAGACTTTTCTCGTGCCAGGCACTGAAGTTGAAGCCATTGATGTGCAGGCGCGTGCGCAGCTCCGGCGTATGCAACCTGACAAAGTTAAGCGGCGTCTGCAGACGCAGCTGTTCCTCGTGCAGCGTGGCCACATCGCTTAAGTTGAGATTGGGATCACCGTTAATGGGTGCAGTGGCGAACAGCGTCCCACTCACATCCACTGACTGCATCAACAGCGGCGTGAACACGCGTTGTTCCTGTGGCGCGTTAATCTGAAGAATGAGTGGACACAAAGCCATTAAAAATATGAAATCTAAAGATGGAGCATAAATACAAGAGCAGTTAAATTTAATTTCAGCTATATCAAAGAAATCTGGGATTCCCATCCCATCCTTTTGACTCAATTAAGAGCTCTGTATCACGTCAGCCGGAACGCGATTTTGTTAATTCAATCGACCGAAAAAATGACAACTGGTTAGCTGGATCGAACTTGATTTTGCTTAGTTCGATACCCGAAAGCTCGAATCAACAGAGCATCCGATTTTAACGCAGGACTCGAACTCATATGTGTGTAGTGCCTGGCATTAAAATGGCATAGCCACAGTCCGACAAACATGAATTTCTCGATAGAGATATCAGATAACACCCACCAGCAAGGTATTGGCATATTCCTCCGACAGATTACGTCCATTCACCAGCCCATGCAGCTGCACTTGCCCATCAGCCAAATGCAGCTCGTTGGTGACCAATGGAAAGCTGAGATTTTGCTCCGTATGCAGCGTAACGACACGTGTCAGGTTTAACTCGTTCAGCTGGCCCACCTGCAGGGCGTTGTTGTCCAGTGAGCCCTGAGCAAAGCTAACGGGCACTGTCAGATTTAAGATTAGATTTAGATTGTATAAGATTGGTTTTTATAGATATCGTACTATAAGAAACCTACTTTCCGTTTGCCAGTCGCGATCCACGCGCAGCGTGTCATGCATCCATTCGGTAATATTGCAGTCATTGAGGCGTTCACCTTGCAGCACCAGTTGATCCACATCTAACTGCTGCATTTGCACAGGTGCTTCAAAGTGCACCGGTGTGTGCAGAGTTACCTCGTTATGTTCCATGCTGCCATCTATGAAGATGAGCTGCTGCAGCAGCTGATCCAGATTAATGTCATTAAGCTCGACAATGTGAACTCCACCACGGATGCTCACGCGACCCGTGAATACCTTGTGACCCTTAAGATGCAATTGTGGATGTCGCTTGTCGAGCATATCATCATAGAACTCCTGCAGCGGCTCCAGACTGCGATTGCCCAGATGACCCAAAACCGTAAGCTCTTGCAGCTGCGTTTGGTGCGGTAAATGTACTAAACCACGCTGCACAAAGGCACCCAGCTTTGTATCCCAACGCAGCTGCTTTTCCAGCTGTTCAACTGCTTGACCGTTGAGTGCGCCCTCCAACTGCAAATGAGTGACATGCAGCCGACCCTCCAGACGTAGCTCACCGGCAAAGTCCAGCGGTTGCAGCTTATTGGCCAGCCGATCGAAGGGCACACCGTTTAGTGCCTGTAGCTGCAGAGTGTCGAGGATGTGCACATGGCCCGCAAAGTTCTTGGTGCCAACAATGATCAGCTCCTGATCTTGGTCAGGGCGAAAGACAATATCGTCTAGCAGTTCGGGTAGCAAGCGCTCGTTGTAACTGCCCTGCAGCAACAGATCGCTGGCAAATATGGGCGCTTGCTGGAAACGCCAGCGTGTACGTAGCTCATTGGGCCGATCAAGCCAGACAACGTCGCGCTGAAGCTGGTCCATATTCTGTCCGTTAAGAGTGTCATCAACCAGCACCCCGCCACTGACCGAAATATGCTCTACTTGCAGCTGTCCATGGAGAATAAGCAACGGCAGCTCGTCCAACTGGCGCAGAAACCCCAGAAGCAGTTCGGCATTGATGCCCTGCAGCTTGGACGCCTGCACACCCATAGGCAAAATCAAATCCTGCACCTGCACCGTGTCCCTGCGCGGCGCACTCGAAAGAAGCTCGCTGAGTTGATATCCATTTAGGCGTCCTGGACCCGTCACGTTGTGCGTTACATCCAGTTGCTCTGCCTGAAGGCGCGTAAAACGCGCCTGGCTGAGATGCAGTGGCTCGTATAGCGTCTGATATCCGCTGGAGAGCGGCACATCATTCAGCATGTGGGACACCTGAAGCTCTGCCAGTTGCGGCTCGTTGACGAAACGAAGTCGCGTAGTTGGCGCCACGAGAGGTGCATCCACACGCAACGCCTGAGCCAGCAGCTGATCCAGCTGGACGCCATCGAAGACCCCGCTGAGCTGTAGTTTATGGAAGTACAAATAACCCGCTAGACTGCTCAGATTGTGCAGCGTTTGTTCCGTATGCTTGGTCACAAACTGCTCAATGGGAATGCCGCTTAGTGTGCCATTCAGCACATGGGCATCTACTGGCAACGCCAGGTGCTGCACATGCTTGGCTGCTGGTATGATCAGCTCCTCATTAGCATCAACCGGTCGTTGTACCAGGTCACCCAGCAGCGCATCGAAGCTGCTGTTATCCAGTAATCCGCGCAGCTGCAGCGGCCCGTTGACAATCAGTTGGGAAAAGTGACAGGCGGCATGAATGTGATGCGAATCGGTTAGCGTGGGATTTAAAGGCGCCTCCTCAAACTGACGTCCTTGGGCGCTACCATTGAGCTGCCAAGTGAAACAACAATGATTAGTAATTTGGCTTATAGTGTGATTGCCAATGTAAGCACCTCTAGCTCCTCGGACACTTCCAACTGTGTGAAGGTGACCCAACCCGGCCAGTCCTGTTCATCGCTTAGTGTAACAGCATCCGCGGGATCGCAACCATTGATAGCGCCAAAAGTGTCCACCATATTCGCAGCTAAAAAAGGGAGAGAGATTTGCATGAGTCTGGCCAAATAACAGCTAGTTGCATAACTTACACAGCGTCTGGGTAAAC